TGTCCGAGAAGGCTCAGGTATTAACCATCAGTACTCGTTATCTGGAAGCAAGCGACCGTTTTCAGCTGTAGTAAGTTGCGAATTTGGTTGCATTTATGCTGCTTGCATCTCCTTATGTCCCTTCCACTTCTTATGTAGACATACTTATCTCTGAGGCACCCTCGTTCTGCCTCTGCAGGTACATAATCCACATCGTATGGATTCCAGTGGAGTTTCTAGAGTGCAGTTAGAAAGCTCTTTCCTTACTGCAAACCGAAGGTTCATACCATTGTCTGTCGTTGCTAATGGACATCTTATGCAATCATATAAAGTAGAATAACTTCTTGCAGATACTTTACCTCATTAATATTGACTTTGTACTTTTTTTCATTTAGTATGTTGCCACATAGTCGTGGACCTCTGGGTACACCATCTTTTGTCTATTATGGCCAGCTTGGCAGTGACCATTCACCAGGTGAGTTCATACTGCAACTAGATGGTTCTTGAGATCATTTTTGACTCACAATAGTTTATGCCTTGTTGAGTATGTCTATTTTGGTTAAGTAGTCTTCTTTTTGGGTCTTATCAGGTTCAGTTTATGGGGTCGAAAGCTTTCCGAATTCTTTTCAGGTATAGAATATTGAATGATCTGTGGTCATTGTTACGGTTCACCATTTCTCATGGCAAACATTTTGTTGTTCATTGGAAACCCCAGTTATATTACATCTGGCACTCTTGTCATGCTCTAATTTATTCTACTGTTGTATGTTCTGTGCTTTTGAATTTAATGGCCTGAGAACTGGGCTTGTTTTCTTTAGATAATTCATTGCTTGATATTGCAAGTGGATAGTAGTGTACCTCCCTGTTCCCGAATCAGACATTCTGTAGAATACATTTGCAATTGTGGACCAGATGCATCTTCTTTATATGGAAGTACGAACTGCGGGACATATCCAAGTCCTCCGGAAAATAAATAAGAGGGGATAAAAGGTTTCCAGTGTGGCATGCAGTAGCTTTCCTTGGGAAAAATGGCATGTAAACAGACTAACAGAAAGATAATCTTTTAACTTCATTCAAATGTAACCAATTCTGAAAAAAAAAAAATTCATTCTGCTCAATGACCTAGGATTTTTATAATGCTATCCGGTTGAGAAATGGAAAGCTTGTTCCTAAATAACATTATGTTTTTAAATATTTTCTCATATTCTTGATTAGCATGTTTACTTTTGCATAGTTACTTCAAGTGGTTTATACAACCTGATTATTCACCTGCAAAAAGTTCTTAAGCTCAGGAAACTAACTCATCAGGGAATTACATCTCGATGATACCTATTTGACACAATTTCTTAAATGTATTTGATAAAGTACCATATATACATTATTATTAATTTATTTTAATCAGATCCTCCAGCCTAATTTTTTCTCCTTTCTGAGTAGTATTTATGGACAATTCTTTTTTTTTTTTTGAACATTAAATGAAAATTGAGATGCTAGAGACTGACGTTTCTGAGTTTTAGATCGGCACACAGTTTCTGATCATTGTTTTTGTTTGTCTTGCAGTCTCATGACCGCGACCCTTATGGTGGAAATCGTAGCATATATCGTAGATGTGAGTAAACTTCTTTTAGTAGCTTATTTGGCTTTTGAAATGTTTCTTTGAGCGTTCTCGGCCGATTCATTAATCAGTATATTATGTTTGCTTCATTCTTTGAAACCAGTCCCGCCTGTCCTTGCTATAAACTTAGCAGATGAGGTGTTCCTAATGCCCAGATATGTATATGAACCCTGACTAATGCAATCATAAGTTAAGGGTCGTCTTAAATGTTGGTTTCTTTTCCTGCATGTGTTCCTTCATTTACTTTTTCTGTTAGTTTGGGTGGGTAGGTGGGTGGTCACAAGAGAGTCCCAATGAACTCTTTCCTTCCATCTAATCCATTAGTCAAAATTCTTGTCGTAGTGTTTTTCTTTAAAGTTGGGAGAGCACCATTCAAATGTGGTGCTTCAACAGTTTATTGTAGATGAAGACTCAAATTTCCATGGTGATCTTGGGTTTGCGTGAACTTTCTATTAAGTTCACATTATCATACCGTCTTTTGGATCTTGTAGAAATTAGATTCATGTTTGTCATGCATCTTGTCATTTTTGGTTGAGTTTCTTGTTAGTATGGTAGTTCTATCTTAAACACATGGTCTCCAATGTCTTGGAATTCCTCTTAAGGTTTATTTTACGTCTAAGCGCTGTTTCAACTTTAAATTTCTGCTGAATGTTATATGTAGTTGGTTGGCAGAAGAAATGAAATATAGTCAAAAGCTGCCACAAGTATCTGCTAAATGATGTGCTGATCTAATCCACTGTTGATCTTAGTTTTCATTCGACGTGATCTTTATCGTCATTCTTCATTGGTTTCTACAGATTGAAGGAGTGATTTGGGAATGCCACTGAACTGATGTTTCTAGCAAGGATTGTCATACTGACCTGTTATTTTGATTCTGTCAAGTTATTTGCAAAGTTCATAGGAATGTTGAGTTGAGTTGACTCATGCTAAGGGGTTTTGTAACTTCATCCTTACATATTTGGGTGACCACCCCAGGACCCAGGTCCTTCCTGTATACCCTGCAAATTTTGGCGATTTGCCTCCTGTTAAATATAATCTATTGTCATGAATTTTCAAGTATTATTTTTATCTTGGCAAACGTTTTAATTCTTTCCTTTTGACAAGTTCAGAAATAGTCGAGAGCATCAACTCAACTAGTGAACAGAATCTTGCTGATCTGGTATTTCTTTGAGTAGATTCAACCATTAAAATGAGGAATAATTTTTACAATGAAAAAAATAAGAAAAAATTGGTGAGAATCGTTCAAACAGACAACTTTGACCAACTTGGTATTACGGTGTATTCGATTAAGTGTAACACCCTTAAATATTCTTTCATTGAAAAATATGATGTATGATATATCCAGTCTGGAAACAGTATTTGAAGGTGTTGTTTGGTTGAGCAATTAGCTACAAATAGGCTTGATCTGCTTTTGAACTTTAAACTATTAAAAGTACGAAGTGCCAATGCGAAATGTTGGTTTATTTTTCTAATATTTAGTATTTTAAAATTAATAAAAAGTTTAGGTACTTTTTTTTGTTTGAAGTATTTAGGGCAAATCCATCGGTGGCCACCTAAAGTAGGCACTAAATTTCACTTAGACACCTTAACTAAGCTTCGTTCATTTTAGACACCTCATGTCATGTCTTGCTGTGTTAATTTGACACTTTCTGCTGAAATGGCATAGCAAGTGTGCTACACTCACTGGACGCGCGTGAGAGCCTCATTTTACCAAATTTTAATTTTTTTTTTCTTCTTCTTCTTCCCCATTTTTTGGCTACCATTTTCCAAGCTTAAACTCTTGCCATGGTGAAATAAATTTGACAATGCCACAAACAAAAAGTGAATTGTAGTGCCCATAAATTTTAAGCTCAAGTACTTTCACTTATTTTGTTGTCTTTCTTCCTCAAAATAATTTGAGAAAATCAACATAAATTTCAAGAAGAAAAAAACACTAAAAAATGGCAAGAAATCATATTTTCAATTATCAAATCCTACATTCACAACAAACAATTTTAGTGTTCCAATCCATTTGTATGCCTTCTCACATCATAATCACAGAAAAAGTCCAAAATCAAAATAAATAAGCTATATAATTTTAGTAGAAAGTTTGGGACTCCATATTTATGTACCAAAGAACCAATTTTTGACTTGCATTGACCCAGAAATCCAAAAAAAAGGAAGAAAAAAAAAAACCCCCCCAAAAGGTCAAGCAAATGCATTACCACATTCACCAAATCAAGCATTCAATCATCATTCTATTAGAAGAAAGACGTTCTTATCTCACAACATTCACAAAGTGATAAAAACAAACAAAAAAAAGCTTTTTCTTTTGACACATTTGGGTGAGGGAGAGTCGGGGGTGGTGGTGGGTGGAGAAGAAAATCTGGGTGAGAGAGAGGGGTTGGGGTTTGAGGTGGGGGTGGGTAGTAGAGAAGACAATTTGGGGTGGTGCATATAATTTTCTTTTTATTAAAAGTGTTTTTTTTTTAATTATTTAGTTAAAGAAATGTCACATGTCAATGAGTCATTGGTAGTTTTTTTCCTACTCAAGATTCATCATTTAATAATTATTTTTCTATATATGCCACGTGTCTTTATTTAATTCATCACTTTGACACGTCATCAGCTAGTGTGTTACACACACCTTACAAATTTGGCAAATTGTCGAAAAAGTGTCAAAATGACACAATTGGGGATGACATGAGGTGTCTAAAATGAACAAAGCCTAGTTAAGGTGTCTAAGTGAAAATTGATGCCAACTTTAGGTGGCCACCGATGGGTTAACCCAAGTATTTATGAAGTCTAAATGTTTAGATTTACAAAACTAGAACTAGGACAACATTTGATCTCGTTTGAGGTAAAAATTATTGTTTGTCTTCTCACTTTGTTCTCCAACAGACACTTGTAATGGAGTAGATTTTTCTTAAGTTTGAATGCTTTAGTTGTTTCTGTTCCCCCTCAAATATCATTGTAACAATTAATAATTCAAGCTACTGCTCATGCTGGAAACCCAGCTAGTTCTCCTGTCAATTGTTGCTTGAATCTTCTTTAACCAGATTGCAATCATTTCATCGATTTTATAAAGCACAACTTATGAATTGTTATTTATGAAGGATAACAATCATTCATGAATACTTCTAAAAGGAAAATGCTTCAAAAGCAAGAAATAGATAAAATGTGTGATCGAGGAGAGTTTATGAATTCTAACTGTCATGATTTGTTTGCATTGCATGGGATCATCCACCAAAGATCTTATCCACATACTCCATAACAAAATGGAGTTGTAGAAAGGAAGCATAGGCACTACTTAGAGACAACAAGATCTATCAAATTTCAAGGGCAGTTACCAAATAGATTTTGGGGTAAATGCATAGAAGCTGCAACATATATCATAAATAGAGTACCTCTCACAGTCTTGGGAAACATGTCACCATATGAACTGATGTATGGCAAACAATCTTCTTTAACTCACCTAAGAGTGATAGGGTGTTTGGCATTTGCTACTAGTTTGAGGAAGGATGATAAGTTTGCACCAAAGGCCAGAAAGGCTGTGCTACTTGGGTATGATGTCAATCTGAAGGGATATAAACTTCTGGACATTGAGTCAAGGGTTATTTTTGTTAGCAGAGATGTTATTTTTTATGAAAAGGAATTTTCATTTCAAACATCAGGTTCAGGTGATACCACTAATCAAATATTTTCTATACTTCATTCACATGTAGAAGATTGTAAGCTTACACCATGTGTTGTAAGCAGAAATGATACTACTCCTTCTAGTAGTGAAGGACATCCCAGTGACAATCAAGACTTTTAGCCTCATAACACAAATGTTTCCTCTGATGTTGCACCTCCTCAGGATGATCAGGCCTCTATGCATGATGTTTTGTCTCAGAATCAGACCCCACCATTAGTCTTACATGATGTTGTTGAACTTGTTATTGTTAGAAGATCCAATAGACCTGCTAAGCCCCCTTTGTGGCACACATACTATGTTTTGCCTAAGAAGCTAGCTGGCAATTGCTTGTATCCCATTGGAGATATAGTTGATTATGAGAGCATCTCACCAGCCTATAGAAGCTTTGTTACTAAGTTATCTCAGGAAAAGGAACCTGCTTCTTATCAGGAAGCCATACAGAACCTAGATTGATTGAAGCTATGCAAAATGAGATCCATGCTTTGGAAGAAAATCACACATGGAAGCTTACACAGTTGCCTGAGGAAAAAAAGGTCAGAGGGTGTAAATGGGTGTACAAGGTGAAGTATAAGGCTAATGGAGAGGTTGATAGATTCAAAGCTAGGTTGGTAGCCAAGGGTTACAACCAAAAGGAAGGTTTGAACTATCAGGAAACATTCTATCCTGTTGTGAAGATGTGGACTGTTAAAGTTGTCATAAGCTTGGCTACTACACATCACTGGAAAATACACCAAATAAATATTTTTAATGTTTTTCTTCAAGGTGATTTGAATGAAGAAGTATACATGGAGTTACCTTTGGGTTTTAGGCATCACAGTGAGAGACAGATAGTGTGTAAACTCACCAAGTCACTGTATGGACTCAAGCAGGCAAGTATGCAATGGAATATCAAGTTAACCAGATCCTTAGCTAATTCTGGTTTCCAGCAGAGCCATTATGATTACTCTTTATTCACAAAGCATCAAGGTGAAAGTTTGGTATTGGTATTGGTGTATGTTAATGATTTGTTTATCACAGGGAATGATCACAAACTGATCCTTGAAACAAAGAAGGCTCTCAAAGACAGTTTTAAAATCAAGGATTTAGGGGAGCTGAGATATTTTTTAGGAATTGAGTTTGCTAGAAATGCAACAGGGCTTCTTATGCACCAAATGAAGTACTGACTTGAACTAATCTCAGACATGGGGTTGTCCTTTCCGCAGTCAAATTACTAATTTAAAGAAATTATTGATAGCTTAAACAATTGCTTGTATAGCTTTCTAGAGCAGAGATCTAGCAACGCATTCTAGGCACAGATCATTGGTATTGGATGTATCGTTAGGTTGTGCCGAGTCAAAATTGCTCCCTTTTTTTTTCTAAGCTTATCGGAGCACCTATTGAACTACTGAACTGAATCAGAAACTTACAACTATAGAAGGTGGTGGGAAGGTTGCTTTATTTGACGATCAAAAGGCCAGATATAGCATTTGCAATACAACTCCTAAGTCAGTTCATGCACAATCCCAAGACATCTCACATGGATGCAACAATGATGGTGGTCAAGTATGTTAAACAATCAATTGGGTTGGGAATTCTTACGAGTGCCAATGCTGATAATCAACAAACTGCATATTGTGATGCAAAGTGGACAACATGTCAAAATAACAGGAAATCCATTACTGGCTACATGGTCACATATGGAAATTCTTTGATATCATGGAAGTCCAAGAAGCAAAACACTATCTCAAGGAGCTTAGAAGCTGAATACAGGAGCTTGGCATCAATAGTTACAGAAGTTGTGTGGTTAGTTGGACTCTTCAAAGAACTAGGAGTGCAGGTGAAGATGCCTGTGCCTACTTACAGTGACAACAAATTAGCAATACAGATTGCTGCCAACCCAGTCTTTCATGAACGTACAAAGCACATAGACATCGATTGCCATTTCATTAGAGAGAAGGTTCAACTAGGATTAGTTCATCCTATGTACTTGGAAACAACAGAGCAACCTGCAGACTTACTCACCAAAGGATTAACTTGTGTGCAACATGTGTATCGGCTTGCCAAGCTAGGAATGAAGAATGTTTTTCATACACCTAGCTCGAGGGAGGATGTTGAGCAGCTAGTAAAATGCACAGCTATCAGTTAGCTCTGACAAGTTCGTTAAATTAACAAATTTAGTTAGTTAGAATTTTTTAGCCTGTTAGCTTGATGAACTGATTGTATATATAAATGGTAATAGTCATAGAATGAAGAGAGTTGTAAAAAGAGTTCCCTTGTAAAAGCTTTCAATGTTCAATGAAGAAGAGAGTTTCTCTCCATTGTTAAGCAAGCTGTACTTCTACTCATTACTGCAGTACCTCGATTCTATGATCTTAACAAATTATACTCCAATTTGATCTATCTTATTTCTCTATCAGAAGGATTTTCTACTGCTAGTATCTTTGCAATTGCCAAGTGTAACTGGAAAAAAAAGGCCACCATGTCGCAGTGGGTACAAGGTAATGGTACATCTTGCAGTTACTTTTGTTTCCCTATCTCCCTAGCCCCTTTCATGAGGTCCCTTCTGAGGAAAGTGAATTAACCTGATGAACTGAAAGGAGTAGGTGTATGAAATTGTGATACCAGTAAGGTATGTGTTTTGGTGGTAAACAATTCAATTTGCAGCTTATTGCTGTTTCCTCGACTGCTAAACCTAAAGGAAAAAACCAGCAATGACAATATATGATCCATGTTATGTACTAGGATTGGGAAGAGTAGGGCATTTGCTAGTTCCCGTTTAGAGCAATCATTCAGTGCACTGAAAGGATGTTACTGTGTAATGTGTTGATTACATTCATATATACTTAAACTAGACTTGTGGGATTAGTGCATGATCCACAAATCATTTCTTCGGAAAAACCCTTCTATGCCTATTCAATTCTTCTTGGAAAGTACCTCTTGTTTGATCATTCTCAGATTTGAAAAGTTAAACATTCTTACAAGGCCAGAATGGTTTGAAACAATTTGGGTTTACACACATACAGATAATTAAATTGAGATTTAGACCACCAAATTAAACTAAAATAGTTGGTCAATACATGTAAGGCTTGATTCTATTGCTATACAATTCCTTTTTGTAGCTCTCTTCTTTAATGTTGCTCTGGGAGAGGTTTGGGATGAGAACAAATCTGTGGTGTCACCTGATTGCACCCAGTAAATTGGCACCATCAAGCTTTGCCCCCTCCAAATGCTGAGAGAAAGAGAAATATTTAGTTCCAACTAGAATCAAATACAATGGCGAGCAGAGAATATTAAGCAACAGAGCTGAATCACACCCTTCAAGCTTCATCTCTTTCCCTATATTCCAGGCAAATATACGAAAACATACTATCATCAGTTAACTACTATGGTTAAATTTGTTACATCAGACATTTCTACATTGCATGCAGTGGTAAAAAGGAGATTAGTCCAAGGATCAACAGAAGCATAATTGGATACACAGCTCAAATGATAGGATATTGACTAATATATGGAAACTTCACCTAGGGAAAATAAAACACTTCATATGACTTGTAAGAACCTCTTTTTTTTAAAAAAACTCATATGGGTTGTAAGACATAACAATCTTAGATTCACTAGGAAGATAATTGACTTCCCCAAATGTGAATGGTGTGATGATGATAAGGACTTTTCACATATTATTAGGACTTGTCCAAAATATAGATAAATTTGGAATAGTTTCCTCTCCCAAAATGAGATTGATTTCATGAAATGAATGCTATGCTTATGCTTGAATGGATTGATTGATCTCCTACTGTGTTACACTAACATTTTCATCTATTTGGCAAATGGAAAGAAAGAAACAGAAATTTGATTGGAAAAAATAACGTCCATCAACAGATCTTTGCACATATTAGTGATTATGCTTGGGAAATTGTTGAAACATTTCCTTGACGAACTTCTATATCTGAAGTTAAGATTAATCACTCACTTGGTCTCCTCCTTGTTTAGAAAAGATTAAACTGAATACTGATGGCAATGTGAAAACCCAAACTGGAGATGCTGCTTTTGGAAGACTTTTTGAGATAATCAAGGGAAAAGGATAATGGGATATTCATGTAAGATAAAACCTACCTCAAGCTTCCCTACGGAAATAGGAGTCAAACAAGGGCTACAATTAGCATAGGCAGTGAGATAAAAAGAGTTAGAAGTGGAAACAGATTGTTTGCTTCTTGTTAAGCTTATCAACAAAGACGGCATACAGTTTCATCCTCCAAGGCTATTATCAAGGATTGCAGATACCCGGAAGCCGAGAAAGCAAATATTATCAACAACTGGAGGGAGCAAATCAGTGTGCAGACATTTTGGCAAATAAAGGTCACAGACATGAATCAGATTTGCTAATATGGGAAGATGTACTCATGGAAATTCATTGCTTGAACTCTAGTGTAAAACTCAATGGTGCCTCTCTGGAAGGAATCAGACTTCATCATCCGAGAGCAACATTTAGGGAATTACTGATCTTGGGCGTATTTATATGCCCATTTACTACGATTTACCCGCATGTGACTTAGTTTCGAGGACATCTTTATGATAATTGTTGTGTTTTGATCAGTGTTATTAAAGGCGAAAAGTGCAAAAAAACCCTAAGGTCCGTGGGGGTTTTAAGCGCAAAGCGCAAATAAAGCGTGGGCTTTAATGAAAAAAGGCGCAAAGGGAGAAAGGAATACAAATATATATGTTCAGTCCAAGAATAATAATTATAAACATGAATGACAAATATATGACCAAAGAAATTGAAAAAAAATTACGATAAAGTGAAATATCATTTATTTCGTTTCACTAGTTCATAAAAGGCTCATTGGCAAGTAAATGTTTGTCTTAGAATCTTTATGACGACACTGAAGCCGCACATTAAGCGAGCTGTGACTTTGTATATAACTTATGAGTTGTGTGATACTTGCTATTAAGGCCTAATTTTGAGTAGTACTTTATTGTGAATGCTTGATTGCTAATAAAATTGCATCATCTTTGACACCTAGGCTCATGATTGTGACTTTGTATATAACTTATTTTATTTTGTAGTTTGTTATGATCTTGTCTCTTAGAAGTGGAATTGATACATCTTGATTAATACTTCTGTCATGTGTGGTGAGAATTTGTTTATTCCATGTTTTGCATCTTAGTCTAGAACTTGCCCTGCATGTTATTGAAGCGAAATAAAAAGTGTCGCTTTGTTTAGGAGAAGATAATAGGCTTTCCTTGATTTGTCTTATAAATTTAAGTTTTTTCAGATATTATATCACTAGCTAGTCCTCTAAGAATGTAGCCTTTTGTTGGTAGCCATATTTTTGCCTTAACTCTTATGTTGAATCCTTGATTTTTGCACCTTGCTTCCTTGAGCACTGTACCATAGACTGATTATAATTGGTAAATCTGAAGACAAAAAAAGGTGGTTGAGTGGAAAAAGGTAATCAATGATAGCTATAAAGTGATGAAAAAGCCCTCTTCGAAAGAATGTGAAATGAAAAAGAAAAAAAAAGGGAGAAAAAAGAAGAAAAAAAAATCCTTCGGAAAAAAAATGACTGAAGCATTCTTGAGATCATGATAATTGTTGAAGAGAGGGCTGAAAATAAAGAGAAGAAAACAATGGGTGATGAAGTCTAAAATTGTCAAGTGCTTAGGGAAGTGTAAGTCACTATTATATAGTTTTCCTACCCATCCCCTAGCCTATATTACAACCCGTTAAAGTCCTAATTGATTCTATTCGAGCATGCTTAATTAATGAAGATGTACATAATGGGCAAGCCTATGGTTCTTTGTGCATACAGGTGAATTTTATTTGTGAGTGTGAGAGTTGTTCTTTGATGTGAAGTCCTTAATTTATATTCAATCTTTTTTTTTTTTTGATAACCGAGAAATTCGTTTTTGACCCACCCTTTGGACCAATCACAGCCTTCTAAACTCGGTGGATAATGGGCCCGCCCCTCTACCCTTCTCCACTTAAATACCGGGCTTCACTTTGCATGGTGTGGGGCTTGAACCTGTGACCTAAGCCACAAATCCTCCACCTTTTGCCACTTGAGCTAGGCCTTGGGGGCTTAATTTATATTCAATCTTTTGAATTGAGTGTGTGGAGTATTTCTTCTTGTGAGACACTTGTTTCATGATGGATAGGTAATTTTATTAACGTTCTTTGACGAGAATAGGTGAACAAGCTTAAATTTGATGAGTTCAAAGTTCTTCCTTGAGGTTAGGAGGTTAGAGGTTTGTTGTTTATTTTTATATCTTTCATAATGATCGAGAAGTGTACTTGATGTTTGGAAAGTTGTATATGACCTAATTGTTTGTATCAACCAAAGTGATGGCGTTCCTAGTTTGATTTTTTTGAGATGAACTTTAATGTTTGTTCGAGGATGAATAAAGGTTTAAGTGTGGGTTGGTGATCTTGGGTGTATTTATATGCCCATTTACTACGATTTACCCGAATGTGCCTTATTTCGAGGACATTTTTATGATAGTTGTTGTGCTTTGATTAAGTATTGCAATGAATGTGCACTAACCTGCATGATTAGCATATGCAGGAGCTTCTAAAGAAATATGAGCTAAATAGGAGGCGACGGGAGCGAAGGGAAAATGAGCGCGAAGAAAAACACCCATGGAGCAGCCTGGGCGCGCTGCGCCAGGGCCTAAACTACTGAAGCCAAGTTCTGGCACGCTTCCCCACAAATGCCCCGATGAAAATACTGAAATTTAAGGAGTCCAAATCCAAATTGAAGGAGGAATTATTTTCCCCAACTCTATAATAAATAGAGCCCTAGGCTTCTTTTGTAGGGGAACTTCTATTTCAAGTGCAAGAGACAAGGAATACAATTCACCATTAGGGTTCTTTTTTTTTTTCTGCTTTTCTTAGACATTAGTAGCTAAAGACCATTGTTGTGGGGCTGCAGCTACGAGTAATTGTTCAACATCGATTGTTTTGAATTAATGTTGGCTATCACTTAAATTACTTTTGAATTTTGGTTTTAGTATTTCATGCTTGATCACCATAGAAATAAACATATTGTCTATTCTTGGACTCGAGAGATGAAGGGGTAGATAGACCAAAGAATACAAAGAGCTCGATCTCTCTTGCATATCACTTGTTTAGATTCAAGTTCAAAATTAACACCCAGATGAACATTGAGCTTAGTTACTAAACATGATGAAATATAAATGCTCGCCAATTGAGTTTGTCTATCCCTGCTCAACGATGTAGTTAGAAAGTCAATTGGAGTAGGTGATTAGAGGTCGGGAAATCATGATCATAAAATCAACCCTGTAAATTAGTAATTTGATAACCGTAGTTAATTCATCACATGAGATGTGATACATGAAACCTTTAGCATGTTGCAGCCCTAAAATTTCCCCAATCATAGAAAGGTAATCTTAGTATTTAATTCTTGCATTCTTTATTTATAAATCAAACTCTTTTGGCACTCTTGAATAAATAATTAGACTAGTATAATTTAGTAAGATAGTTAATCGACAAGTCTTATGGGTTCGATAATCCGGCTCTTTTAGAGCCACTAAATTACTTGTGCGACCACGTACACTTGTGTGTGCAATTGGACGCAACAATTACCAAGCAAGTTTTGCACATAATTTGATAGGCGTCTCACAAACTTCATAAATGGCATATATTCATAACTAAAATATTCTGCCTTTTGGCTTTTTTGGTTGACGAGACATTAAGTAGTCAAAGAACATAATGTACATACCGTTATACTCCAAAACCTGGAGCTAGACATTGAAAAATGCTAATGTTAACCTCTCATGCTTCTTTCCACATAATACATAGAAAATACAGTACAATTTAGCAATCACAATTAGAAATATGCAAGACAGCACAAGAAAACTTGTGAGGTTGGGAAAATTATTTCAACACTGCAAGATAGCAACTTGAAGTTGAAATGAACTCGTGAGATAGTAGCCATATGAACGCCCAAAAACTCAATGGTTTAAGTCAGAAAAGGAATTTCAAAGGCAGATATACAGGAAAGATGGTTTATAGTGGGAGAGAGTGTCATTTACTTATCTTTAGAAATTTATGATTACTACATCCCAATAGTTGATGAGGTGAAGTGCATTTCATATATGTAGTTTGAAGTTCAAAGACGAAGGTTCCATCGGATCTCCCTGAGATTCCAATATAATTATTATTATTCAAGAGAACTTTGATTCACATTATCAACTTTCTTTCCTTCCAGATGGAAATTCATCGGTGAATTGGATTACAAGAACATCCAGCAGAAGGCCAGGGAAAAGGTTAATCTTTGTCAGTGAATGAAAATCTGACTTTGTTTCAAGCAATTATCTTTTCTTTCCTAAAAATTTCCACGTCTGTGCTTCACAGAATCAACATAATTGAGGATAGATGAGTAGGCAATAACAAATCCCAACTGATTGGCAGTGGTAATATGACTTACTGTATCACGAAGATTCACATGCCGAAGATAAGCTCTTTGAAGGTTTGCACCCTTCAGATTTGCATTGGTTAACTTCGCACCCTGGAATAAGTAGTGGAAAATCAATTAAGAGGCATAATGGAAACTGACTCGTGTTTGGATTCAGAAGGAAATATAATAAGAGTAGCTGACTCATTTCATCTGATCTTTAGAGGAGTAGGCTATTGTATGGTTCATAGTAGAGAAAACGACCAAAATGGTCCTTGATGTTTAGGGGTTGAGCTATTTTGGTCCTTTATATATACTTATTTTATTGAAATAATCCTTGATGTATATAAAAAGATGATCATTTTGATTCTTAACCCTAAAACTAACAGTACAAATGAAAAATTCTGTTAAACTAATTGTGGGTGCCTCGAAATTGACAAGTGGCAGACCCCTTCTACTCAATCGTCTTTCTTACGCCAATTCTGCTGCAATTTTCAATTGGTTTATTCTTCTTTTCATTACCAAAATCCTTTTTGACACACAAAAATCTCTTCAATTTTCAAAGAATATTGTTAAGATATCGATTTTCAACCTCTGTCCGTTCAGTTTTCACCCTTCTATTTGAACAACGAAACAAAAAAATACATGAAAAGACTATTAGTTTTTTTTTTTTAATAAAGGTAACGTTTTGTGTATCAATCATTAGTTTTAAAAAGGACAAAACAAAAAGAAAGCTATATTCTTCCCATATCTAGCTATAAAAAGAGAGACTAGTTGGTTAAAGGTTGAAGAGAGTTGGTTTATGGAGTTCTCCTGGGAGGAGCAATGGAGTGTATCATCTGATTTACTTAGTTCACATTTGTTTTAGCGGTCACAATTTTTGTTTTATTTATGTATATATGAAAATGGGAGCTTCTGGGAATTATTGTTTGGAGATAGATAAGAAATGAGTGTAGTGTGTACTATTTTTCTTATAAGAATATGGCTGGTGGGTGGACAGGACTGAAGATGGAGCATACCTTTAATGGTGAAAGAAAGAAGATTGAGGGAGAAAGGGTCTGTCAGGTGTCAATTTTAAAGTAACCCACAATTAAATTTAACGGAACTTTTTACTTTTACTGTTTGTTTTAGGGCTAAGGATCAAAATGATCATCTTTCTATATACATCAAGGACTATATCAATAAGGTGGTATATATAAAGGACCAAAATAATTCAACTTGTATACATCAAAGACTAATTTGGTCGTTTTCTCATTCATAGAACTCTCACTTCTCATTATTTTTTGTACTTTTTGACAATACAGAAGGATCTGAAAACCCTTGGTGCCCCTTTATTAATGACTGCACTTACTATTTATAGATCCCAAAGAAAAAAGGAGAGAGAGAGAGCGATCCTTGACTGCAAAGTTCAAGAAAAAATTGATTATTGGTGAGAGATATCTTTCTGACTGTTTGGGAAACTCGTTTACTCAAGTTATTGGAGGGGATTGGCAGAACCTATTGGTTTGAGACTGAAAGAAGAGATCTTATTGCATTATACTTTAGGTGGTACAGTAAACTGGGTTTTGCAAGTGTCTTATGGAAACAATGGAATGGCCCGTCCAGGTGAAGACAAAGAAGGTTAGGGTGACATCGATAAGCAAGTAATGTAGAACCCATCACACATCAGAAGGGATGGAGAGTTGCACGCCTTATAAGGTGGTGTCTGGGTATGCTTGTCAGTTCAAGTTAAACATTTCGTGCCTTGTAAACTTTATCCCCTAGTGGTTAGACCCTTCACCACTCAATTGTTCAGCTCTGCAGGTCAGGCCAAGATAACTAGCATAATACACGAGGAGGAATCGCTTTTGAGGCGAATAGAAGGCCCATGTGTCATTGTGTTCGGATAATATCTTAAATGTTTTCATTGTGACAAAAAAGCATTTTGAAGCTGTGCGGAGAAGAATTAGGTATATTAGGCTGTCGGAGGTCACTTGTTCCTGTTGCAAGAAACTGTGGTCCAAGAAAGAAGCAAAACTTACATAGAGTACTTTACAATCACTGTTAAAAGAACAGTTAGTAAGATTTTAGCAGAAATCTTAACACTAACAGAAATGGAATGACTTGATCATTTGAGAGACCTTCCAGTGAATTACAAGCAATTAAAATATTTTAACAGTCTGGGCCTCTGGGTAAGTACTTTTAAAGAAAGTTTGCAAGATTTTAGCAGAAGCACAAATAAATTGAGGTTGGATGAGTGAATTACGAGCAATAAAAATAGTTCAAAAGTCACATGTTCACCAGAGTAATACTTTTGACTATAGTTTTAATAGCTGCTTCTGTATCCAATATTATTCCACCTTCGGGTGAATTTAGGCTATAGTATTACATGCATAACTTTTACCTTCAGATTTGCACCTTCAAGATTAGCTCCTTCGAGGTTGGCATTGGTAAGATCAGCTGTCTGGGAATAAATATAAACAGTAATTCAGCACATTAAACAGGCCTCAGAATATAAATGCTAACAGAGTTGTAAAACTGAAGTGAGAGGATTCAGGCAAAGGATAAGAATCTAGGCCTTATTCCAAATCATTACAAGCTCACTTTCTACGATCAAAGATGAATAAGAATTATATAATTTAGGTGCATCAGAGAATGGGGCTGTAGTAGAATATCTTGTCAAGAAAACACGTAAAAGTGTCAAAAATTTAAAAGGATCCACAGAGGATACAGCAACAGACATTACAGTTTTAGAAGTTTAACCTGTAGGTGAGCAGAACGAAGATCCGCCCCACAGAAGCTACAGCCTATTAGACAAGCATCTGTATGGAAATAAAGGAAGATTATCATAATAATAAATATGTCAGGGAGACGAAGAAAAATAATAAGAAAAATAATAGATATCTAGATAGCAAGCAGATCGTTCATCATACTTTAAACGGGGAAACAAAAACAGCAACTTATAATGAAAGTGAAGAGTCCGGGCAACTTAGAGCAAAGAAGGTAGATACGTTGATTATCTGATAAGTTGATAAATTCAGAATACACCTACTTCAAACATTATAACCTACCTGTCTAACAGTAAGCATTTGAGGTTCTAGCACATAACACTTCAAACATGCATGATGCACCATAGAACAGAAACATAGCACACTTCCATAGGAGTGCCTGATGCTAGAAAAATCACCCAAAGATACCTCTCTTCCAAGAAACAAGTAACTCTTGCTGTTCTCATTCTCTCAACAACCCCTCTTCACCCCCACCCCCTCTCTAGTCTCTCAACCTTCTTCTATTCTCCCTTTCTTTTCTTCTCAGGATATAAGGAGATTGGACATGGCTCGAAATACAGTAACAACAAACTTGAAGAAACACAAATTATTGGTTGTAAATTGTAGTCTTACTTGTGCAGAACTCCACATGAAGAAATCACTCTTACCGTTTAGTTTCAGAACAAATCGGTACTCTGTAGTCTGTAATAACCATTACCTTGTAAATTTGCACTTTGAAGATTAGCACCAGCTAATACAGCTCCACGAAGATTTGCTCCAGTAAATTCACATCTTCCCTAGGCAAGATGAAATCACTAAGGTTGCAACTTGACAGTAAAGATGGGCTTGAAAATAATATTTATGTGCTTAAATTTTAATCCACACATACATGTAAAGCCTGTTAAAAAGAGGATGTAAAGAGGGTGAATCTTCGAAAAATCAAACACTGTTAAGATGATTAAACACTATGCATGATCTACATAAGATGTGGAGACCGAGAGATTATGCGCTATAGCTTACTCGCGCAATGTGGCATTGTGAAAAATGGAAGCTTCGGCATCGACATCCTGTGACAAAAGTTAAAGAACGACCAAGAAAAAAAATAGTATTATTTAGTAACTAGGTCATTGGAGTGTTAGGAGCTTAGAAGTACAAATGTTCCTAGAGTCCCTTTTCAACAAAGACATTGAATATACCACCATCCAACTAAGAGTATCACTGCATAAAAGCTAACTTTTCCTTTTTGTAAGCAAGGACTTCTCATTGAAGAAGACCAAAAGTTGCCAGCTATGTACAATGGCTACACCAAAGAAAATGTGCATTTTTTTTTCTAACTGCAAGTAAACAGGCAATATTGTGCACTTAACTAATAGAAACAACCAGCTTAGTCTGAAGTATGTTTGCAAATACCCTCAGCACCAAATGAGACAATTAGCAAGGCTGAGACAAATTGATATGCCTATGTCTATGTTATTTATCTTTTTATAACCGTGGTGTACAGGCTAGCTTGAGTGCACCTCAACTAATTTCACCAAATACCTGCCACCTCCCGCCAGCAACAGGTATCAGTTAACTCTATCCACCACGGCGAGGACAGATGGGAAGAAACCACCTAGTGTTTTTGTCTCTGCTATGACTTGAACCGAAGACCTCATGATTCTCAACCCACTTCATTGACCACTAGGCCACACCCTTAACCTTGGGTGTGCTTATGATTATGTTATATGGAGTCAGGAATGATATTTAACCACACATAGTCCAATATGATATTACCATGTCATACCCAGTCAACATTGGTATATCAAGGCAAATTAAGAGTCTATGGCTCTATGCAACATTGCTTACTATCTCCAAAACTTCTTTTACCCAATATAAGGCATACAATCTTGTACATTTGTTATACAAACTACCACTTAGTCAAAAATAATGTGCAAAACACCCCTTAGTATAAAAGGAGACAATTTGCAAAGAAGACTAGAAATCACTGAGACTGAGGTATGAGAATCTGCAAAAGCTATCAATCCAACAAGGCAGACACGTGCGATGCATATTCAACGTGGATACTCAAGACAAAATGAAGAGTCCTGTAACATAGCTAACCATTTCCATAACTTCTTCTTCCTTCCTATGCTGCAGCCAAACAAGATTACAAACCTTTCATCTAGCTGGTATAACCTAGTCAAACCCCAGTCCAGCCATTTTTCTAAAATTGGCTACTAAGACACTCATCTCTCATCAATAACCTCAACAGGACTGAAGCATGCCAATGAGCTCCAGTTGAGCGCTCGGCTAAGGTTGACCGCTGCAACACTGCGAAACATAATTCCTAATCTTGCAAAAGTAGAAAGACCTAGAAGTATTTTTCAGTCAAACAAAGCTAAAGTGAGAGCACATCAAATTCAGAACTTTTCTCCCTTCATCAAACAAAACCTCCAAAACTGTAAACAAGTAGCTCATCCACAGAAAGTGGAGTACTACTATGTTCTTACTCAGAATTATATATTATTCTAGACTATTATCACAAGTGTAAATAAAAGAAATTTACTGCTAAAGTTAGATGCGCACTCTCCCAAGGTATTATGACTGTAATTATAAAAGTACAACATTCTTAGTGATCTACACACTAACTGCAGTTGAAGATTCAGCAACATTTAATTGAGCAATAATACCCTGAATTTTGCACATTGAAGATTGGCACGTGAGAAGAACACTGTTTTCAGACATGCATAGCTGAAATCCACAAATGACAAGTCCTGCACATAGAACAGATATCATTGACTAATTAAAAAGTTGTAGAAAATTACATGAATAATGATATCAACACATCTGACATGGCCAAATGCTTGGGAGATTCTCCCAAGTTGCCAAAAAATAAGGGATGGGGGGTTGTACTGCAGTAAAACAGAGCAAAGAAGTCATTATCAGATGCTATCAAGATGGGCTTCCTTTTTTGGAATTTTCCCCTTTGTAAGGAACATAGTAATAGTTTATTAAGGGATAAAGTCAGAGTAGGGATGTGCGTAAGACCCGAAAAACGACCAAACCAGTTTTCGCTTTATTCTGTCGGTTTAGGTTATGCATATTTGTAACTTCAGTTGTTCAGTTCAGTGATTGGTTTCCAGGGCTCAGTTTTTCGGTTACTGAAATTTTGGAAAAGCCTTGATTCGGCCTTCCGCGGTTCCAAACTCAATCGCAAAACCAAATGCTATATTCATGAAGATTGAAGTCCAAACTCCGCTCCTCTCTCTTTGTTTCGATGAATGCCTCAACGCTCGCATTCTACGGGAAACTTTTTTGACTATTTACCTTCGTAGGAAGCAAAAGGAAGCAGAAAAGGTCATCATGCAATCTGCCAAAGCTGAAGATTTTTCTGCTGCTGAATAATCTACATTTCCCAATGAGCTACATTTGCCTATTGCCCACAGAAAAGGAGAAATATCTTGCCCATGGCTTTATACAAGAGGTATACCAAAAACGGGGAAAACCTACAAAATATGGTTCTCTCCAAAAGACACCCAGTCCTCTATACAAACAGGAACAACATGGGTGCACCAAAGAAAAAGGGATCGAAGACTACTTCTCAATTGGCAAAGCTCATATCCACCCTTCAAAAGCTCACATATTTCTCTCTTTCCAAATGACCCACAAAAGAGCAGAAGTAGTAACATTCCATGCCTTGTGTCTTCTTCTTCTAGCTTCACTCCTCCAGCGGAACATAAACTCCTTCACAGATCTTGTCATTACCCAAGAAATGTCAAACCATCTGAATATATCCCCTGATAACCTCGTGGCTAATTTGCAACGTAACGGAGTCTGATCCACGTCCTCACCCGCCTCCTTGCAAAGAAAATACCAGATCAAGCAGAAAACCTTTCTTTTCCCAAGATTCTCTGCCGTCAAAATCACCCCTCTAGTAGCTAACCACGTGAAGAAACATACTTTCCTCGGCACCTTAAGAATCCGGACCATAGCATATGGGTAACTCTCATCCCCCCTACCCAAGAGCTTCTCATAAAAGGACTTGACAGAGAACACTTTGTTATTCCCCAATTCTCAACTAAAAACATCAGATTTGTTGACTGGTTCACATTGCTTTTGAAGTAAAACTAGCCGTCTCTGAAGCTCAGTCACCTCCCAATACTGAAAATTCCTCCTGAACCTCAAATCCCAAAAAGTCTCTTAAATAGAACAGCGTTTTTATAATTTTGGAGTAAGGCCACAGGACATTCCTTCAATTCTAGATTAGATCAACTCTGTATTCTAATTTTCCCCCCTTCTTGGGGCAAATGGAAAACAGAGTTGCATGTAATTGCTCCCTTTTTCTTAATGTAAGACTTATCTTACTTGAGGACAACTTGTCCTTTGCCATAACCTCTTTGACTAAATGGTTGCTTCTCTTATTTATTAAAACACAGAAAAACAACATAAAACAATGAGGAGATGACGATCATGCCCATAGAAGCACAAGCTCTTTATGAAGCATAGAAACTACATGAGGAAATGCGCATAGTTATTAAGACAACAAGACGGTACTGCAAGAAGTCTAGATCAAGTATCCATATCTGCAAATAAGAACATAAAGAAATGAAATAGTCTAGCACTAGATTATATTACCAACTTCGAAAGATCAAGACCAGAAAGATTAATTCCCCGAAATTTGACTCTGTCAGACTGTATGCATTTGATAATGTCAATGCGTGTCAATTCAGTACCCAACTCCTCATCCTCCTTCCTCTTACTTAGGGCAGATTTAATTCCATCTACTAGACCCTGAAAAGAAATAGGTGAACTAAGAGATCTTAACAACTCCGCAGACACACAAACTACTTTAGCTGTCAGAAAATATTTATAACTCCCAAAATAGCTACATTTCAGTACAACATACCTCTTCAGTAAAGGAAGATTTAAAAAAATAAAATTATCAAGTAAAAGATTTCATTGATAATAACAAGGCCAACATGGCCGTATACAAGAGGCATATCAAAAAGGAGAAACCTACAAAAAATGGTTCTCTTCAATGTTATCAACTTCGAACCAATCCTCTATACAAACCAATGTTATCAGAAGCGAAAAGTGCAAAAAGCTCTAAGGTTCGTTGAGGCTTTAAGCACAAAGCGCAAATAAAACATGGGTTTTATTGAGAAAAGGCGCAAATGGAGAAAACATACAAATATATATATATATATACATGTTTAGTCCAAGACTAATAATTATAAGCATGAATAACAAATATATGGACGAAGAAATTGATTGTTTTACGATAAAGTGAAATATGAATGTCTTATTGTCACCTCTTCAGGAAATGCTCATTCGCAAGAAAAAAGTATGTCGTAGAGCCTTGATGACGACACTGTAACGCACATTCAGCAAGTCGAAGCGCTCAACGTGTTTTGAGCCTCGCTTCTGGGTTTAAGCGCGCCTTTGACAACACAGATACAAATAAGAACTACATGGGTGCACCAAAAGAAAATAAGGATCGGAGACTACTTCTCAATTGAGCAAAGCTCATCTCCACCCCTTCAAAAGCTCTCATATTCCTCTCTTTCCAAATGACCCACATTAGAGCAAGAGGAGTTACATTCCACGCATTGTGGCTTCTTCTTCTAGCTCCACTCTTCCAGCTGAACATCAACTCCTTCCCAGATCTTGGCATTACCCAAGAAATGCCAAACCATTTGTATATATGGCTAAACTGGCATCTCTATAACTTCCATTTAACATATATATTCAAGAAAAGATTCACCAAAAGAAATAAAGCACAACTATTAAGTGGGTGTGTCAATATCGATGGTTTGGAAACCATGACAAGTAGCGCTTTGGTTCACTATCTCAGGAAATATTGGTTTATAAACTGTTAGAATAGAAATAAGTATTTCCTACTTAGAATAGGAATAGGAATAAGAATAAGAATCCTAGTTGGAAAAGGATTCCAATGTAATGTCTATAAATAGGGTCTCAATGTAACTATTTAGATACACAATTCAATATTATTTTTCCCATTTATTTCTCACATGGTATCAGAGCATTGGTGAGAAACTTCAAGTCACCGTGTCAAATTCCGACGACGACGGTTGGGACTGATTTGTGTCATCTTTCGTTCTGAAGGTGTTGTGTGAAAGACAACACCATCACGAGGCTTGGGAAGCTCAGGCGACCGAACCACAAGAATTTTCACCGGAAAAAAATCCCCCACGCGCCCCCACACGCCATCGGAGGTGGAAGTTTTCCGGCGAGATCTGTTCACGCGCCGGCGCGTGAACACTGCTCCGGTCATTTTTTTCGAGCTTTTTTCTTCATTTAACTTTGAGCTTCAACAAAAGATTATAAACCTATGTAACCTAAGGAATTATAAACTCTAATTCCTAGACGCCAACAATCAACTAGATCGTCGACCCACTTCAAGTTATGAATTCAGATTACAACTCTTGCAATCCTAGGAACTAACTCTAATTCCTAAACTCCAACATAAACCCCCAAGGTTTATGTTCCCAAGTCTTTAAGTCGCCCCAACTTGAAGACTCTATTCCTACTCCAGTTTATACTTCACTGGATCTAGAAAAAATTAAAGATACAATTCGATAAAAACTCAATACAAGCAAACTTGACTTAAGAACTACAAAACATAAGCCTATGGATCAGTTCTTCAATTCTTGTTTCCTTGCGTTGGCTACACTTCGTAATCATAAATCACTCAAATATGAACTCCCTCTATTTGATTGTATTCTGCTTGTAACTCTCTGTTTAAGTATTTTCGACCAGAACCCATTCAGTTTTCTCTAGATCCGATCACCGGAATTAGGGTTCCGGTGATTTTTAGGCAGTTTCCGGTGAAAGCAGACCACTGCAGGGCAGTTTCCGGCAAGTTCCCTGTAAAATCAGAATTTTCAGGCCACTGTGGGCAGATTCCGGCAGCTTCCAATAATTAAAATTTCGGCAGCTTCCAATATTTTCAGACCACTATAGCAGTTTCTGTCAGTTTCCAGCATACATACCAGTCTATGGAGAATCGACGAAGGAGAGAACGTTTTGGAAAATCTCGATCCAAGTGTAGTCATTGTCATAAACCTGGACACACTCGTGACGTATGTTATATTTTGCATGGTCCACCACCCAGTTATGATCCTATTGTTCTAAAGGATATAATGAGCTCCTTCGAAATCGTGCAAGTAAACAACGTTTTGGAAAACCTCGATCCAAGTGTAGTCATTGTCATAAACCTGGACACACTCGTGACGTATGTTATATTTTGCATGGTCCACCACCCAGTTATGATCCTATTGTTCTAAAGGAATATAAAGAGTTCCTTCGGTATCGTGCAAATAAACAAACGTCTCCACAAGTAGTTTCGGTTGCACAACCTGATGTTTCTGTTGCGGGTAATTCATTTACTTGTGTGTCACAGTCTAGCACTCTTGGATCATGGGTCATAGACTCAGGGGCTTCTGATCATATCTCTGGTAATAAATCACTATTGTCTGATATTGTTTATTCACAATCTCTTTCAGCTATTACTTTAGCCAATGGGATCCAAACAAAACCAAAAGGGGTTGGAAAAGCCAAACCCGTATCTTCTGTCACCCTAGACTCTGTTCTTTATGTCCCTGGTTCTCCTTTTAATCTAGCATCGGTTAGTCGTTTGACGAAAGCCCTACATTGTAGCATAACCTTTTTTGATGATTTTTTTCTCATGCAGGACCGCAGTACGGGACAGATGATTGGAACAGGACATGAATCACAAGGCCTTTACTATCTTACCTCTTCAAATTCCTT